TCTGAATCTGAATTGGTACAATTGCAACTGGATAAATATTGTTGAGATTACCGTTTTAAAAATAAACATTTCTGAATATAGAAATATGATACTTTTAAAAATTAAACTAAAACTGCCAGTATGTGGCGGAACGTCTCTGTTACGTATGGTAACCCACGTTCCCTGAAAGAAGGAATGGAGACGTTCGTCGGAGGGATCCGACTTGAATGGGATCTTCACAGAGAGACCAATCTACTCCGAGAGAAACTAAACGAGCCAATGCACATTGGCATGTAATTGATTGATTGATTAATACTTTATTTATCCCGAGGGAAATTTAGGTATCCAGTAACATACAAAAACAAAAACATACATAGAAATATACAATAATTGCGCCAGCTGCTTCTGTCACCCAGCGCAGGTATATAATGAGCAGAAGGTGCAACGCATCTTTGGTTTTTGCTGAGGAGCCGAGCCAGGGACCCGGCCGTCTGCAGCGATTGTACATAAACATTGCAATGGGACGAACGTCTAACGTTCCCTCTTTCAGAGAATGTGGGTTACCATACATAAGCGAGACGTTCCCTTTCATGTCGGTCACTCCTACGTTCGTCGGAGGGATCCGACTTGAATGGGATCCCTACCAACACGCCATGTTGTTGGCCCTTCCAGTGCCCTGCTCTCACTAAGTTAGGGGCAGAAGCTTATGCGGGGGAGTCTTGGCCACTGATGTTCTGCAAGACCCACTCAGTGAGAACATTGGATAACACTGGGAAAGCATGCCCTTCCCAGGGTAAGGAGAACGCTGCGGAAGCCTCTGGGGTGGTTCCAGCCTAATCCTAGGGGGGAAGCACACCGGCAGAATGGGCTCTGCCAAGGGAAAGACACTGGCTAGCCAATAGGGTTGCCGTACCGTGGAAAATACACATATGGGGTCGCCGCATATGGACACCCAGCCTATCACAGGTTCCTCAATGCATGCGAGTGTTAGGCCTGGGGTCAGATGCTCCACAACGTCTGACTGCCGTAGGGGTGATGGAGGAACTCAACCGGGTTAGCCCTCTCCGGGGAACACACTGGAGCAAATAGACACACGTATCTGGCCAACCAGGCGAGAATGGCATAGCAAGCCGACACTTGAGCGGGCTCCCCGCACTACTGGCCACTTGGGGCGAGTATATGGGAGGATACCGGCTCTACACAAAGGCGATAGAATCTAGCAAACATGTTGGGTGTTGCCCAGCCCACAGCCCTACATATATCAGCGAGGCACCTTGAGCCAACACCCAGGAAGAAGGCAAGACTTCTAGTTGAGTGTGCTCGCAACCCGAACGGGCAAGGCACGTCTTAGGATTGATACGCCAAGACAACAGCATCCACTATCCAGTGGGCTAGCCTCTGCTTGGAGATAGCCTTTCCCTTCTAATGGCCTCCGTAACAGACAAAGGGCTGGTCTGAGGTCCTAAAACTTTGTGTTCTGTCTACGTAAAAAACGCAAGGAGTGGATGGGACAGAGAAAAGCCAGGGCTGGGTCTGCCTTCTCCGAAGGGCAGCGCTTGCAGGTTCACCACCTGGTCTCTAAAGGGCGTGATAGGAACCTTGGGCACATATCCGGGCCGGGGTCCCCTACCCTCTTGATAAAAGCCAGTGCCGTCAGGAGCACTGTCTTTAGTGGCAGGATCTTTAGCTCTGCTGACTGTAGTGGTTCGTTCGAAGGGAGGTCTCTGCAGTGCGCTGAGTACCAGATACAGGTCCCAAGAGGGTATAGAGGGGGGACGAGGCAGATTTAGTCTCCTTGCCCCCCTCAGGAACCTGACGATCGGGTCATGCTTTCCCAATGACTTACCTTCAACTGCATCGTGATGCAAGGCAATAGCGGCGACATACACCTTGAGGGTGGAGGGAGACAGTCTTCACTCCAACCCATCTTGCAGGAAGGAAATCACAACTCTGATCGAGCATCTTCGGGGGTCTTCCCGGTGGGAAGAACACCACTCAACGAATAGGTTCCTCTTCAATGCATAGAGGCACCTCATAGAGGAGGCTCTAACGGAAGTGATGGTGTCTACCACTGCCTGTGGTAGGTCACCTAGAACCTCCATAAGGTGCCCCGTCTCATAGGAATGGGCCAGGGAGGGACTCTCATGAGGAGTACTAGTTCTGGGAACCAGTTCCAGTTGGGCCAATAGGGGGCCACCAACAGGACCTGCTCCTCGTCCTCCCTGACTTTGCACAAGGTCTGTGCAAGAAGGCTCACTGGGGAAACGCATACTTGCGTAGGCCCCGGGGCCAGCTGTGTGCCAGGGCATCTGTGCCGAGGGTTCCGTCGGTCAGGGAGAAGAACAACTGGCAATGTGACTTGTCCGGGGAGGCAAACATCTACCTATGCGGCCCCGAAGCGCCTCCAAATCAGCTGGACCACCTGGGGATGGAGTTGCCACTCTCACGGTAGCGTAAGCTGTCATGTATATATAATGTTTCTATATTTGAAATGGTTTACTGTCTTGCATTTTATCTCAAAAGGATGTAATTTAAAAAATATGGAAATTAGTGGAAACAAGTTAATGCAACCTCTTATTTACATGAGATACAAATAAAGCTGCTTGGTTTGTATTTTTAATGTTGTGCATAATAGCCTACATATTTTAAAATTGGATTGCATATATTTCTGCTGCTACAATAACGGCCCATTTCAAGTGTTTTTTTTTTCTCTTTCTCCTTTTTTTGTGGAGCGGTGATAAAATATTGCTCTTGTAAATACTTTCCAGCATTTCAGTAATAAAAGTGTACATCTTTAAAATGCATGCAAATTACAGTGAAGCGCAACTGTTATCGCACATACGGTGCTCGGCAGTGATCAAAAAGGATTTAAACATTGAATTTTGAAGTAATCTCTTCTTGTAAACTCAGAGATGCGGATTCAGACGGCAATTAAATCACCATCGTGTGATTTAGAAATCACCCCTCCACATTGGAATTCCGTGTGGCGCATTCGCACAGGAATAGCAAAGCCTGTGAATTTAACTCGAATTTACTGACTTATCTCCCGGATATGATGTCAATAGGCTATTGCTTGGGAATGTCTTGTCGTTATTATAGGTCTAGCTGTATGATACATCATAAACAGAAGAATGTTCCTTACCACATGCTGCTATACATGCCATTCATCTCCATCTAATCATTCTTTTTGCTCTTCTGATGGTTTTCAGCTTTCTCTTTCTGCAAATTGTATAGTTGTATGGTGTATAGCGGTGTATAGCTTCTATCCTCCTTTACGATGAGGAGGGGATTGCAATTTGTAGTTTCTCCATTCCAGTGCTGTGATTGGCTGCTGGCATCAGACGTGGCCCACCCTTTTTTCGCCTGTGGAAATCATTTAGCATAATCTAAAGCACACTGTTAGAACCGTGACTTTTACCTGTGCATTACTCTGAATACATGATGGAAGAATACTCAACTATCATGAATGAATTCACACAGCTAAATTTCGTGTAAACCGTTGTATTACAAATAGCTGTCATGTGTAATATGACAGTTTTACAATTTTTCCTTAAGAAATTTAATGGGAGGCCTGGCCTGAATCTTGAAGAGAAAGTCAAGATGGGTGAAGGATAGTTAGTTCATAGTTAGACCATAGGTTAGTCCCCTCCTTTCCGGGCCTGGTGCTGGGGTCTTCTTCTTGCCCTGTAAGCGTTGTCCTACAGTATCAGCCCTATCTGATGGCGCTGGGCATTTATTTGTTTTCATCCGCTAAGATCCAACTGAAATGTAGCAAACCTTTCTCCACTGTGGCAGTCAGAGACGGGCTCCAGAATAAAACTGAATATGCTGTTCACTACATATCCATTTGGTCATGCAAAGTACAATGATACATAATTAGCTGTATTATTTGTTTACCATTTTGAGTTTTAACAAAGCTATCTCTAGAGGATCTCTAGATAGACCAAACTAAAAATATCAATGTAATCAATCAACATGTCAACTTGTGCCAACAATGGCACACATAAAAACTTTTTAACATCAAACATCATTAGCAACATATCCTGAGGTGAAAAAACTAAATAAAATAATAATAGAAAATGTTAGGCTGTATCTTGGCAATGTGTTGTCTTATTTAAACAAAAATTTGGAATCGCCATCGCTGCTACAAATTTTTACAGTTCAGTTTTAATTCCAGTTAATTTTATGTTATGATTAATCTCAGTTTAAATTATGTGTTAATAACTTTTGAATAATATAGCCTTAATTCCTGTTTCTTCTCAGTGTAGATTCCTAGAGACATTTGAAGTACAGTGCTCACCATCTCTAAAACGTTTTTATGTACTCTTACTCATATTGGTCAAAACTTGTGGGAGGTCTGGTTTGAGTCTGGCATGGGATGCTTCATGAGCCATTGCTTTTGTGCATTGAATATAAAATCCCTAGGGAGCTTGGTACTGTAATTGCAGTTCTATTTATTATTGTGTCTGTCATGTACACCTGAAAGAACTGTATAGATGTCAATATTGCGAAAAGATATTGTGTAAGAGAGTTGGGGACCCATTATTGGTCTTATGTCACCTTTTAAGTGGGTCTGGAGTCTTTTTCGTCTTCTGCTCTCATGAAACTTGTAAGTGCGTCAGTGTGAAAAAAGAAAATGTTTCCCCTGAGAACATTATTTCTCAGCAACCTTTGATGCAGTCAGTCCTCAGAAGTGGAGCTGACACCTGAGCAACAGCATGTGCCAATTATTTTTGGATGGAGCTTTGTTCCTGACTGAGATTTATTATTTATTTATTTTTTACTGCAAGAACAACCTGTGGTACGAGACCCGCTGTCAAACCACCATAATCTGGCACTTTACATACTGAACAAGGCCAAAAATATTACATTTTGATGACTTGTGTTTCTTGTGTCCATCACGGTGGCATATTTCATTTTCACATTTTTAATGCATTTTTAATTTTATTGTTTGCATTTAACAAAGTTAATTGAAGTGCCAGTTTAACTGATGTTGTTTATGTTTTGTTTTTCTCTAACAGGGATTCTTTGTGTCGGTATTTTACTGCTTTCTTAATGGGGAGGTGAGTCAATGATGAGTGTAATTTCATGGATGGACAGAAATGAAAGATGACTATAAATATATAGGCCCTTTCCACAGCCATATCACCCCGTCACCCTATCTGTACTCTGACACCAAGTCTATTATTATGTGGGAGGCTATTTACCCTGACTCGCTTACACACAAACACCAAGACAAACAGAGCAATTTATCAGCACCCTGCAAACTCCTCTCATTTAATGGGGCCATGTTTATTGCCTATAGGATTCCTCTTCAGTATCACTTGACACATCTGTCATGTTTCTCTAGTTATTTCCCTCTTCTATGTCCAAACAGAATTTATTGTATTCATATTATTTGTGTGTGTGTGTGTGTGTAGATATAAGTTGGCCCACATAGAATGTGTGCAAGTTTTTCTGCATTGTGGAAGAAAATCTGTAGTTTAAATATATTTTACTACATTTATTAGATTGTGTCACTTGTTGGTAGCTGATAGCATTATCACATTAGCCAGAATACTGTCTCTCTAATGAGAGACCCCTGCACGGCACACCGGTCTCGAGTCCCACGGAGGAGCTACAGAAGGATATAAGGAGGAGCGACAGCGGTGAAGGGGAGAGAGGACCAGGCCTGGGACATTTATGTTGCTGTTTTATTAGGTTTTTGTGTGGTAGTCGGTGCTTACTTTCGTTTTGTTGTTTGTTTATTTGTGTAATTTGCCAGTTCCTGCCTCCTTCGTTCCCTGAACTTGAACTTTGCTACAAACCTGCTTTTCCACTGTCGGGCCAGTGCGAGCCAGGGCTAACAGCGTGCCGGCCGGGGCCAGTAGCCTCAGACCTTGAGCACCGAGCCCAAAATCAAGTCGCGGTTTCACTGTCGGGCCAGTGCGAGCCAGGGCTAACAGCGTGCCGGCCGGGGCCAGTAGCCTCAGACCTTGAGCACCGAGCCCAAAATCAAGTCGCGGTTTCACTGTCGGGCCAGTGCGAGCCAGGGCTGACAGCGTGCCGGCCGGGGCCAGTAGTCTCGGACCTCAAACACCGAGCCCAAAATCAAGTTGCGTTTTCACTGTCGGGCCAGTGCGAGCCAGGGCTGACAGCGTGCCGGCCGGGGCCAGTAGCCTCGGACCTCGAGCACCGAGCCCAAAATCAAGTTGCGTTTTCACTGTCGGGCCAGTGCGAGCCAGGGCTGACAGCGTGCCGGCCGGGGCCAGTAGCCTCGGACCTTGAGCACCGAGCCCAAAATCAAGTCGCGGTTTCACTGTCGGGCCAGTGCGAGCCAGGGCTGACAGCGTGCCGGCCGGGGCCAGTAGCCTCGGACCTTGAGCACCGAGCCCAAAATCAAGTCGCGGTTTCACTGTCGGGCCAGTGCGAGCCAGGGCTGACAGCGTGCCGGCCGGGGCCAGTAGTCTCGGACCTCAAACACCGAGCCCAAAATCAAGTTGCGTTTTCACTGTCGGGCCAGTGCGAGCCAGGGCTGACAGCGTGCCGGCCGGGGCCAGTAGCCTCGGACCTCGAGCACCGAGCCCAAAATCAAGTTGCGTTTTCACTGTCGGGCCAGTGCGAGCCAGGGCTGACAGCGTGCCGGCCGGGGCCAGTAGCCTCGGACCTTGAGCACCGAGCCCAAAATCAAGTCGCGGTTTCACTGTCGGGCCAGTGCGAGCCAGGGCTGACAGCGTGCCGGCCGGGGCCAGTAGCCTCGGACCTTGAGCACCGAGCCCAAAATCAAGTCGCGGTTTCACTGTCGGGCCAGTGCGAGCCAGGGCTGACAGCATGCTGGCCGGGGCCAGTAGCCTCGAACCTCGAGCACCGAGCCCAAAATCAAGTCGCGGTTTCACTGTCGGGCCAGTGCGAGCCAGGGCTGACAGTGTGCCGGCCGGGGCCAGTAGCCTCGGACCTCGAGCACCGAGCCCAAAATCAAGTTGCGTTTTCACTGTCGGGCCAGTGCGAGCCAGGGCTGACAGCGTGCCGTCCGGGGCCAGTAGCCTCGAACCTCGAGCACCGAGCCCAAAATCAAGTTGCGTTTTCACTGTCGGGCCAGTGCGAGCCAGGGCTGACAGTGTGCCGGCCGGGGCCAGTAGCCTCGAACCTCGAGCCCAAAATCAAGTTGCGTTTTTACTGTCGGGCCAGTAGCACTGCAGTGCTTCCCTACAACCTGCCCTTAACACGCCTCCATAGAACGACATCACACAACCTCGCCGTTTCACCAGCACAGGGAAGCTAGCAGACTGAACTAGATCGGGAGTGCACATCAAACATGATCAATCAAACTGTATAATTATTTCACATAAAAAGAGAACAGACAAACTTATTCAATCGCGCCTGCTTGATCACAGCAATGAACAAAACAACTCTATAAAGTCCAAAGGCATACACATTTAGAAAAAATACTATTATTATATCATATTTTACATCACCTTTTTTTTAGAAAGACTGAGCATTTCTATAAATTTTCCATGAAATTATGCGATCTGAGGAGGTTTGTGTGATCTCTCCGTCTCACTATACTGTTATCCTTTCAGCCAGAGCCACAGAGGGAGAAGCAACAAAAGCACAGGGAAGAGACAGATGGAACATGTAACCAAATAAATACACAAGTGTAATCCTGTGATCATAAATTCTTAGTCTCAGGTATTTTCGATAATCATATGTGTATTTAAACATAATGACAATGGTTAGCATTTAGCATTGCATATAAATATATTTTTGCTTCATACTTTTATCAGAATCTCCATCTGATTGCAATCAGAAGTTATTTCAGACACTCGCTGGTGTCTGAAAGTGAGTTTTGAGCTGAGAATTGTCTTTAATGTTGAGGTTAGCTGTTAGCCTGATATGAAAACATGGCAAATGAGAAGCGGTGTTCACTCTCAAACTCCGCCTCTGTTTGTAACCAATCCTCAAGCCCCTGTTGGTCCGCTTTAGGCCAAGGTATTCGATGGGCCAAAAAAAAACCTGGCAGTTGGCCCCGATGAAGCCCCGACGAGGCCCGATCAAGCCTGGGAAGTGACAGTGGAAACGCAGTCGCCCTGGCACATACTAGCACGCTTGCTTTCGGCCCGACAGTGGAAACATGGCTATTGTTATCGAAACCCGGGAGGAAGGAGGGGCACACTGTTGGAGAGCCCTCGCTGCTGAGGGGGATCGTGGTGCTGAGGAGGTCGTGCAGTGCGGACGAAGGTGCGCCTGGTTTGCCTGACTCCTGGAGGGGCGGCGGATGGAGATCCTGCCACCGTTAGATGGAGGGCAGGGCCTGCTGCTGTCCGCTATAATGGGGAGGACCAGGCTGAATGAGGGAATGGGGGACTCGCTCCCGGAAGCCAGAGGAGCCGTCGCCGTCCACCAGGGGTCGGAGGAGTTGGAGGCCGTCCACCAAGAGGCATCTAGTACCATGACATGGCACTGCAAGTGAGGGCTTCTCAGTTGGTTGAAGAGCGAGCGGCAGTGTGTTCATGGAACCGGACCAAGCTTTTTTTTTTCCTTTTTCCTCTCTCATACCACTTGCCTCTGTCCCTTCTTATCCTTACATCTTCTTTCTCTTACCTCGCCTGTCTTACTCTCGCGCCCTAATCCCCGGTTCTGCAAACAGTATAACAAAATGGCAAACTATGAGGTTACTGCTGGTTTATCAGCTCGTAAAGCTGACAATCCGTTAAACATTCCAAAAACAGAGATAAAGCCCCTGAAAAGACACGTCCAAAGTGAAAAGACCTCAGCTGTCCCAAACCAAGCATGAAGCAGGAAACAGAGCACTTCCTCACAGAAACACCATCAAAAGCACAATCTCAGGAGCAACTGTAGTCACATATATCTTAAATGTCGCTGGAGCTGCACCCAAAGAGAAACGCTCTTGAAGAAATCCAGCACTGATCCACCAGGGAGGTGAACTGGTTTCCAACCCTCAAACTCTGTACCACAACGCAAAAAGTAGCCCCAATTTAAGGCATAAAGGCACCTTTTAGACGGAGCCCTAGAATTTTAGATGGTCTCGGTTATCTCAGAGGTTGCATACAGAAAGGAAGGCCATGGTCGGTCAAAACCAAGCAATCATCTAGACCTACAGTATGCAAGGCGGTAACAAGGCAAGAGTGCACAGACTAAAGAAACCCTGCTGCGTCTTTGGTGGCGTGAGATATGAGGGGTAAATAATTGCTTTGTGCCTTCCTGAACAGAGCAACTGAAGAGCAGAAAAAAACCCAATGCACAATCTGGTCCAACATAGGGAGCCTAACATCTCTTATGGGGGCACCGGATGCTGTGAGTCATAAGCACACAATATAAGGCATGACACCTGTTCTCCAAAAGATTAATTCTGTCTTTGTTCAAGATGAAAGTGTCGGAACAGACCAAACAGACTCAGGAGAACAGTCAGGAGAAAGGTGAATACACTTCAGCAGTTCGAAACAAAACTCTGGGAACCTGACCTCCCTTTCAGGACCATAAAATCAGAAATGACCCTTGGAGGACTGAGGTTGAGAAGCCTTAGCTGTTGACCTCAAGTATATTCTTTCTTAAACTGTGTCATTACATTCCCCCCAGCTATGCCTAAACGTCCCTGTTTGTTCCTACATAACTGTGCCAGTTTAATGTCTCTTAACAGAAAATAATTATATAAAATCACAACAAATAATGGCCATCCATTAATAAAGACCGTGAGGTTCAATCTAATCTGAGACTACTTGTTAGAACAATAGACTACTAGTTTCTTTTATTTTTCTACAGTCCCTGTCTGCTTTGGTGACAGCAGCACTGAACTGCCATGGGCACAAGTCTGTGCAAAACTACATTATTCAGCACGATTTCAGAATATTCTTAGTGTTATTATCATCATCATTGTTATTGATATAACTTATTGACATGTTTAAATAAAAATCTTCAGAACTAATTAACTAAACATTTGGTTATTCTTTTTTCTTTAGAATGTTATTTTACAGTCTAATGGTCTTTCTTTATATCTGATTTGTTATGTGGGTTAATTATTTGGATTTCTGTTATGACCCAAGGCAAGATGTAGAATATGCTTACACTCAAGATGATCTGTCATCTAGACCGTCAACATCAAAGCAAATCACATCAGTGCCATCTGTGACTCAGCTATGTCATTCTCTGTTTGCCCATACATATTATAATGTTTTTAGATGAAGGCAACCATGTTCCCTCTCATGACTGACTGACTAAATTAATCAATTTTATAATGAAAAGCCCCTAGCAATCATCCATCTCTTTTTATTGTTCTTTTTCTAAGCTCTTTTTTCTTTTTATAACCATTACATGCATGTCTTTTCGATAGCTAAAAAATCAAGTCCATTTGGCTATATTATCCATTTCAATTTCAAATCTTGCTCTTGAATGAAGACTGGGCACTATTCTAGGGCAAAAGAGTTTTACAAATAGTTGTTGAGGGTTAAAACAATTCACTGTCATGCATCTGCATTTAAATTCTTGCATTCTGAATTTCTGAATTGAATTCTTGTAGAAATAAAAAAGTTGTCATCGTTGTCATCATCAAACGTACTCCAAAAATGCTAATATTAGATAATGCGTCAGAAGTAGAGTGAGCTTGAAAGCCAAGATGCTAAGTTAACCCAGGAACCTCATAAACACGATAAATCGCATCCTTAACCTATTGTGACATCCTTTTTTGTAGCAGCAACACCCCTATTGTGGCCATCAAAACAAGAAAACAACTGAATAAATGTATGCCACTGGCTCCTGCGTCGACTGGCCGATGGGCCGAGGTGAAGTGAATGCATTTTCAAAGGCGGAGCTGGAGACCGAAAGATCCGCACAGCAGAGTGGAGTAAACAGAGGAGGAGCCAAGGAACTGAATGGAGCTAGCGGAGACACAGAAGACTTGGAGCTGGAGACCGAATGATCCACACAGCAGAGTGGAGTAAACAGAGGAGGAGCCAAGGAACTGAATGGAGCTAGCGGAGACACAGAAGACTTGGAGCTGGAGACCGAAGGATCCGCACAGCAGAGTGGAGTAAACAGAGGAGGAGCCAAGGAACTGAATGGAGCTAGCGGAGACACAGAAGACTTGGAGCTGGAGACCGAATGATCCACACAGCAGAGTGGAGTAAACAGAGGAGGAGCCAAGGAACTGAATGGAGCTAGCGGAGACACAGAAGACTTGGAGCTGGAGACCGAAGGATCCGCACAGCAGAGTGGAGTAAACAGAGGAGGAGCCAAGGAACTGAATGGAGCTAGCGGAGACACAGAAGACTTGGAGCTGGAGACCGAATGATCCGCACAGCAGATTGGAGTAAACAGAGGAGGAGCCAAGGAACCGAATGGAGCTAGCGGAGACACAGAAGACTTGGAGCTGGAGACCGAATGATCCGCACAGCAGATTGGAGTAAACAGAGGAGGAGCCGAGGAACCGAATGGAGCTAGCGGAGACACAGAAGACTTGGAGCTGGAGACCGAATGATCCGCACAGCAGAGTGGAGTAAACAGAGGAGGAGCCAAGGAACTGAATGGAGCTAGCGGAGACACAGAAGACTTGGAGCTGGAGACCGAATGATCCGCACAGCAGAGTGGAGTAAACAGAGGAGGAGCCAAGGAACTGAATGGTGCTAGCGGAGACACAGAAGACTTGGAGCTGGAGACCGAATGATCCACACAGCAGAGTGGAGTAAACAGAGGAGGAGCCAAGAAGCCGAATGGAGCTAGCGGAGACACAGAAGACTTGGAGCTGGAGACCGAATGATCCGCACAGCAGAGTGGAGTAAACAGAGGAGGAGCCAAGAAGCCGAATGGAGCTAGCGGAGACACAGAAGACTTGGAGCTGGAGACCGAATGATCCGCACAGCAGAGTGGAGTAAACAGAGGAGGAGCCAAGAAGCCGAATGGAGCTAGCGGAGACACAAAAGACTTGGAGCTGGAGACCGAATGATCCGCACAGCAGAGTGGAGTAAACAGAGGAGGAGCCAAGAAGCCGAATGGAGCTAGCGGAGACACAGAAGACTTGGAGCTGGAGACCGAATGATCCACACAGCAGAGTGGAGTAAACAGAGGAGGAGCCAAGGAACTGAATGGAGCTAGCGGAGACACAGGAGACTTGGAGCTGGAGACCGAAAGATCCGCACAGCAGAGTGGAGTAAACAGAGGAGGAGCCAAGAAACTGAATGGAGCTAGCGGAGACACAGAAGACTTGGAGCTGGGTGGGACCAGCAGCGACAGGAGACTTAGGGGAATAACTTCTTCCTCAAACCATTGCATTGGGACCTGGCACAGCTCACCCTCAGCAGCAGGAGTACGGGCAGGGCTCCCTTCCATGCCGTCATACTCCACAAGTATGCCCTCCTTGACGGATGATGTTGCCAGCTCTTGCACCTGGTCAGAGTTGGGCTTGTGCGTCGACTCTGCCTCTGGTTTCAAGGCGGGCTCGGTTGGCTCGGGCTCTTAGTCAGTGATGGGCATGGCTGATGATAGGCTGGGCTCTGGGTCCAGTGTGGGGCTGGCGGTGACTTTGGGGGGATTCACATTTCACCAGCACCCACTCAAAGTATTCTGCAAAGCTCCCTCGAGGACCTGCCATGGGCATGCATCCCTTGGACCGCTTGTTGAGAGTGGTGTAATAAAAGACGTAGAGGGAGCAGTGAGGGTAGTGATTGAGACACGCCAGATCAATGAAATCCCTCGAGGGAACGCTCCTCCTGTTCCATGAGAAGGCAGATTGCAGGAATGTCCATCTTTTCTTTTAAATCCGTATTTGTGGTTCGATGTTCTGTCACGGGTGGCAACAGCAATAATCGCACGACACAGGAGAATATAACAAAAACAGTCTTTCAATCAATCCAAAAGGGAACACAGAGGAGATCACTCAGTGTAATATACAACACAACCACGCAAAACAAAGATATATATAACACCAAAAAAGTAACTGACAGAACTCAGGGCTTAAATGCACAGGGAATGGTAATCAACCCAGTCTATCAAAACTAATAAGACACAAACGGTTCTACTTTACCATGTTTTATTGAATACATTGAACCTTTGATGAATTTAGTAACTGATATTCTTTTAGCAGCAAACCTCCACAAAATGCTTTTTTTAAACATCTCACCCACAAATCTATCAATATTTCTAGGTTGTCTCGATAGCTCTGCCCACTTTAGGTTATGCCACAGCATCTGAATTCGCTTAAGGTCAGGACTCAGGAAAACATGTACCTTATTCTTTTTTCTTTTTTCAACATTTAGCGGGTTTATTTGTGTCCTTTGGATCATTGTCAGTTGCATCAGTTTGAAGTCATGAACTGTTTTCCTGAAGTTCTCCTGTAATACATTTTTTAATGTATTGTTTTTTTCAATGCTTGTACAGTGTCCAGGCCCTCAGGCAGCAAAGCAGCACTAAACCATGATGCTCCTATCACCATGCTTCAATGATGGGAAGATGTTTTTTAGTGTGCAATGCCCATTTTTGCCAAAACTTTAATCTCAATTTTCCCAGAAGCATCGTGAAACATCCAGGTGATTTGGGGCAAACCTGAGACATGCCTCGGTATTGTTTTAGACAAGAGTGGTTTTCTCCAGTATGTGTTGTCCGATCACCATTCTTGTTCAGTGTTTTTTTTTAAAGTGGACACATGAACAAGTGATTCAGAAGATTATTCTCCACAATCAGTGCAGACAAATTCAAATGCTGAGTTTAAAATACCATAAACTAATGCATGTTTCCTCTTCATAGGTACGTTCTGCAGCCAGAAAGCGTTGGCATCGATGGCAAGACCATCACGCACTGCGAGTCAGAGTGGCGAGGGCCATGTCCATCCCCACCTCACCCACCCGCATCAGCTTTCATAGCATCAAGCAGACCACAGCCGTCTGACCGCTACACAACTGCGGTTCCTCTTCAGTAATTCAGCCACACAGATGGACTGCAAGTGGCACGAGAGACCAAATGATTGTTTGCCTTTCCGATGGTCATGGGTGTATCATCCAATAACCAGAGATTTTTAATTTATATGTCTGTAATTCTGACAATCTGCTCTGAATTAACAGTTTTTTAAACAGTATTGATGAACTGTTTCTTTTAACTTAGTAGTTTTCAAACATCCAGAACACTGTAGCATCTGTTTCATCTATCTATCTATCTATCTATCTATCTATCTATCTATCTATCTATCTATCTATCTATCTATCTATCTATCTATCTATCTATCTATCTATCTTATCTAATAATTGGTGACAATGAGTTAGTAATGAACTCAATAAAAATTTCAGGGTTTTTTAGGGGAGGGGACGGTGATCTATTTATCACAACAACAAAAAAAGTCTCAATGTTTTAAAAAAAACAATCTTAGTCCAATTTCAGCCCACACTCGGGACCAGTCTCCAGATCTCCACAAAAACTGCAGATATGGTTGTACTGCAACATAGGAAAACAGCTGCCAGTTCTCTCAGTTATATAAATGACATATCTATTTGTTTTTCACCAAACTATATCATGTGCATTTAGAAAACCGTGAACATATGGGAACATTCTGTGATACTTTTGCACTTTTTCCCTAGAGCTTGAAGGTGGTCACTCTTCAATGTCGAGTGCAAGCAGGAAATTGTTTATTTTCTAGAAAAAAGAATTGTTCTTCCCTACAAAAATTAAATTGGTAAGCCATTGTTCTGTGGCCCCAAGGTTGGCTGTCTGCAAGTGAGCCACAAGATTGCTATCCGTAACCACAGTAGACCTTGATCCAGACAGGTAATCTTTATTTATCTCTCTTTTTTGTTGTTATGGCCATCAACTCTAATACAAAGGAACTGTAATTGGCATGGTTTCACTCTACAGGGTGGAGACCTAAGCATAAAGCAATCACATGCTCTCGTCCCTCCTGAACTTGGATAAGGACACCGAATCCCTGAAGACTAATATCTGTATGCAATTCAACAAGCAAAGAAAAATCAGCATATGCCACTTCATGGGCTTGAGTAAGATTTCGGATTTTCATGCAAAAGTTCATTTGATTCAATGTCCACCAAACTTAATTTCCTACCAAAAGAGCTTTTAATGGGTGGGATATTTTGTCGAAGTGGAAATAAAACACCTATAATAGCCTGCAAGGACCAAAACGGCCCTCACCTCTCAGACTGTAATCAGGGTAGGCCAACCTGACCTGAATCTTCAGTATGGATCCCAGTACCGCCAACATCGTCCTCATTCTCAGCAGACTTTCCCTTTAAAATCGCATCAAGATCTCAGAGCTAATGTTGTCAGATCTGGTGTTTGGCTGATGCATCTCACATATAGCTGTGTATTCCTCGATGCCATCAGGATCCATGATCAGCCTGAGGTTTTCACATCCATAAATATCAGGACTGTTGACTTCTGATACAGTGACAACAATACATTTGTGAACCTTTTGAAAGTATCTGAATTTTTGCATTGATTACTCATACAATGTGATATGATCTTAATAAACGCTCACGCTTACTGTAATAAAAACCCACGCTTTCAATCTCATCTCCACTAATAATAATAACAACAACAGTAACAAATGTTTTAAAACGGTTTCCCAAACACTCCCCCAATCCTCATGTGGTCGACAGATATCCAAGGAATTTTGATACATCAAACCATTACGAAGATATAAGTTAAATGGTCATCTATTTGCCAAACAAAATGTCTAAACTTAACTAAACTTGATACACACGATTTAACAAACATGGCCACCAGAAAGCCAATCAAACTTCAGAACGGCTGACCATTATGAAAATTGATATATTCGTACATAGTGACAAAACAAAGCTGAAAGGTGGAACTATAATAAGCAACTTTACGTTTTTGCTCATAACTCTCCATGCATGCTAGCATCAAAGTATCCGTTTCATCTGAATATTTGTGTGTCAGGCCCTTAAAATGTATTTGTATTTTTCTATAAAGTTTATCCACCATTCTAACTCCTTTAAAAATCTAACAAAAAACGTCAAACTCCTCCTTGGAAGATCTTCATGAGATCCACATCAGCTCTAGTCCATGCAGTTTCTAAAACATCAGTCATTTATTTTCATGGGATCGATAGAAGAAGGACATGTTTTCCACCAAAGGGAGCCACAGCGTAAGAAATCCATTCAGGTCTCAAAGATTCAAATCTGTGTAAATTGTTCAATACATTGACTTGTAGTATTTAGAAATTCATTATAGTTTTATTCCATTTGTAAAGAAGCCTGTAATTACCTGTAAATACTTAGAAAATCTTTATGTACCCAGATCTGTTATTGAAAACATATTTGTCAAGTTGCAAGATGTACTTGAATGTATTACTGTTAAAAATGTGAAGGAATCGAAAAGCAGTGTGTGTGTGTGTGTGTGTGTGTGTGTGTGTGTGTTTGAGAGAGAGATAGAGAGTGTGTGTGTGTGTGTGTGTGTGTGTGAGTGAGAGAGAGAGAGAGAGTGAACCAGACTGTGTGTGTGAGAATGTGTGTGTGTGTGTGTGTGTGTGTGTGTGTGTGTGTGTGTGTGAGAGAGAGAGAGAGTGTGTGTGTGTGTGTGTGTGTGTGTGTGTGTGTGTGTGTGTGTGTGTGTGTGTGTGTGTGTGTGTGTGTGTGTGTGTGTGTGTGTGTGTGTGTATGTGTGTACATGTGTGTGTGTGTGTGTGTGTCCTCCAAACTTGTAAATTTATATGAGGAAAGAAAGTATGTATTTTGTCTTGAAAGTTGTTTTAAAAGTATTTCTCTATTTAAAACAACTAAGTGTAATTAAGATTATTAATATTAATAGTGATAGAGTATTTTCAAACAGTTATCAAGAGTGTACATTGATACATGATTTTGATCCCTTTGAATAAAAAGAAGTAGTTGGGCAGAATAATTATGTGAATTATAATAACATTTCTCCTCAAAATTAATATTGTATATTTGCCAAAGACTAGAATATGTAATGTTCAGTTTGCTTTTTGTATTTCAGAATGTTTTATTACCAGGTTTTCTGCTTGTTTGTGTGATTCATTTTTTTTCTGTATTTTTTTTTTTTTTTAAACCAAATGCCTTAAAATTTTGAAAGTGTGGATATGATAGACATAAAGGTTACATGATCGTGTTACTGCTCTGTTTAAATATAAAACATTGTGAACACTCAGAAACAGCCTGAGTTCTGGCATTCGTTCCTGAGTTCATGTGGTGGTTCTTTGGGACCCTAAATATATAAAAGTCACATGAGATGATGAGGATTAAATCAGTTACAGACTCACTGAAACACACCATCCAAATATCACACGCTACATTAGACACATTGGAGAATCATCTCAGTATTCACACCAAATCCCATTTTCACAGTCTCACATTTTTTAAATAGGCAAGGCAAGGTTATTTAAATAGCACATTTCATACACTATGGTGCTTTACAGAAAGGAATTAAAATAATCACAAAATAAAAGCAAGGGAAATTTAAAACAGTTATAAAAGAAATTAAAAGAGATAGATGGTATAGTTTTAAAATGAATTAAAATAGTAAAAAGATGATACATAGATAAACTTCTCATCTGGCAAAACACCGGCGTATCATATTTTTCACAACTTTAGTTTTACTCTGAGATTTTCTTTTACAATTTGTATTACACATTTTGAAATCAATGCAATTGGGTCAAATTCACCAGCGATATTAATGCAGGTGTGCAAAATCATGTTAAATAAAACAAATAAAAATCTAGATGCTAGGCGCTGATATATTTTAGGATAGCCGGAGGGTGCGTGTCAAGTTATATAATTCATACGCTGATTTCTCTGTGTGAGTTTTCTTGGATAGATAACATATAGAGCATGAATTAGTTCCTCAACCATCTCAAGCGGTGTCTTTTCTCTCATCATTAACAGGACATTATTTATTGCAGTTTGCATGTATTAATGTAAGCCAAGTTCTGTAACAATACACAGATATGCTTTGAGTGAGTAACCCTGTGAATGTATAAGGAGCGGACATTTGCATATGCCCGCCTCCAGAGGAAGACAATGACAAATAGTTGTACATCATCGCACCATAGGCCCCGCCCACTGATGTTCATTTGCTTAACGGCTGGCATTTGCCTACACTGGATGTGAGCGTAGCATATAAAGTAAATAGAAGCCATTATAATGACTGATGCTGTCTACACTGACACAGTATACTGTTTCCTAAGCAAGGAAGTTAGCCAATCATTGGCCATTTACTGACAAGCCTTAAAGGGGTCATGAATTGAGAAATCAAATTTGGCTTGAGCTTTTGACATATAAGAGGTCTTCATACCATAAGAATATAAAAAAATGTATAATTTCAGACAGAGGGTCAGAATACAGTCAAAGAATAAGTACAACAATATAGAACAGAATGAGGTTCAAACAAACAATATTTATTGAATAGATTATTAAGATATCAAGTGAATATTATTAAGTAAGTGAACATTAACGTAAACATAAATAAGAAGAAACGTCTCGGTTACATATGGTAACCCTCGTTCCCTGAGGGAGGGAACGGAGACGTAGGTCAGACTGACCAATAGGAATCTCGCTAGAGAGGCCAATCTACTTCGAGTGAAACTAAAACAAGCCAATGCACATTGGCATGCAATCATTTGCATCAGCTGCGCGTCCTCGTCAGCGCGGGTATTTAACAGCAGCTGTTATGATTGCACACTAGTTTTTTGCTGAGGAGCCAAACCTGAGAAAGCTGGCCGCCCCAGTGGGCGGCAGCAGATGTGGCGACGGGACCTACGTCTCCGTTCCCTCCCTCAGGGAACGAGGGTTACCATATGTAACCGAGACGTTCCCTATCGGTCAGTCACTACAACGTAGGTCAGACTGACCAATAGGAATCCCTACCAAAGCGCCACAGCTGCTGCACCCCATCCAGCGCCCCATGCA